CTCCCTCTCCCCCTTTCACGACCCACAGCAAATTAAACATACCCACCTCTCTCTCTAGCTGAAGTCGAAAATGATCATTTCTGCTAAAAGATTGGAAAACAAAATCAATATTTAGTCCCCATCAATAACCATTTTGATTGCAGAAAGCTACAGAAACCGAATTGAGTTTTTGCATTTTCTAGAAAGGAGAAAAGAGGCATCCAGTATAGGAAAGACCTTGATTTCTAAACTTCAAAAATCACTTAAGCTAATTAGATTGAATATAAGCTAATTCAACACATTATAAGCTAAATCAAACAAAGTGTAAATCAATTAAAATTCAACACATTATACCCAAAAAAAAATAGGTACACAGGAAATTACACAAAATTTCTCTCGGTCATTCCAACAAACAATTGGTGTGGGTGGGTCTGTTTGTGATGTGTGTGTGGGTGAGTGGGTGAGTGGGTGTGGGTGTTTGTTAGTGGGTGAGTGGGTGTGAGTGTGTGTGATGTGGGTGCGTGTATACTGGGTCTGTGTTGGGTGTGTGTGCTGGGTTTGTTTGTGTGTGTGCGATTTGTGTGTGGGTGGTGAGTATGTATTCTGGCAAAATCCTGGCTCCGCCCCTGAGTTCCATGGTGCCAAACTCGACGAACAAAAAAAAAATCGATATAATTGAATATAGACTTGGAAAATTACCAGAATCACGTGCTTCCCTTGGACATCGAGTTTCAAATCGCACGAAATCCTCGGGGAGCAATTCGATTTGGTACCGGACCCGTAAGATTCAGCTCGAATGAAATCGATGGTGACTGGCAATTTGATTTTTCGAACGAGGTCAGCCAAGAATGAAAGTGAACTGTTTTTGAAGTCTTGTGTAATCTGAGAGGCTAGCTCTGATATTCGTTCAGCGAGTTGTTCCTCGGTCCATAGAACCCTCTCTATATGATCATTCAAGTCCATGGCTGCACAGAGAGAGAGAGAGAGAGTTGGACAGAGGGTTTACGATGGGCTCAAAACCCTAAGGAATATGTGCGATAAATGGTCTCCATTACCGATGTACGGCATATTTTAAACATATATTTCAACCTACGATAATTATTTTAGTTTTAAAAGTGAACTTAACAATTTTAATTTTATTTAAAAGTGAAATTGACAAATATAATATCTTTACTAATAAGATAGGACTCATTTTGAATCTTTTTCTACTTTAAAATTTAATTTATTTGGAAAAGCATAAGAACGGCTCAGATTAAATCCACTTTTAATTCAAAGGCCCACATTTTCATCTCATTTCTTCCATTTCAATCCAATGGCTTTGGGTAGAACAGTTTCAACCTGCCTAATTTATGATCTTCTCTTTCTTAATTCTTGGGTTTAATGTTGCCTAATTAGCTGACTGGCGTTATTACTATTGCCATAGTTTGGTAACCAGTTGATGGATTTCTATAGCATGAAGTTCTATTTTTTATAATTGATTTGATATTTTTGGGTTTTTGTGTGTTTTCTTCTCTGTGTTGTAGATTCTATTCGTATTTATTGTATTCGAAGTTATTAGTTTGTTAGGAGTAGCACACATTCAAGTACATGTATGTGTTAGTGATATTTCTGTACTGAGATGGATATATTTGATTTGGATTTGTTTGACTTAAATATTTACTCAACTGATCTATTGAAGGTGGGTTTGGGTATGTGTATGGTAGACTCATGCTAGCTATTTGATAAGTTGTCCCTCTCAAACTCTGTTAGCTATTTGATAAGTTGCATTTGATCTAATTCATTATTATTTTCCCACAAACACAATGATGAGAATACATATTTAGACCATGAAGAAAACTAAGTACATATTTGGCCGTGCTCTTCAGAGAACTGATGTTGTATGTACATATCCTAATTTTTTTTTGGCCTGCAAGTGCTTATTGAAGTTACTTATTTCTCTTGATTATGACTGCCCTGGTTTGCACTTAATTTGTCCAGTCATATGGTAAAATCTATAACACAACGTTTAGTAATCTATTTATTAATGGAATGTCTTTTTGGTTGGGTAATAAGAAGCTTACTTTCAATTTTTCTATCCAGCACACACACACATTGTACACAAACACACAGGCCTATCTTAAATTTTTTAGTAGTAAGTGGTCAGAAGTCTATTTTATTACTATGGAAGTTTTGAATATAAGCCTATTTGGGATTAAAATATGTTGGTTTATTATATAGATATGCTGACCAATCTTTGCTTTTTTGGGTGGAATCTATGTTTGCTTGCTAGAGTAAAAAAATATTTTTTGGGTGGAATCTATTTTTTGGGTGGAATCTATTTTTGGGTGGAATCTATGCATACACATAAGAATTTGTTGATGTTTATACTCTCTTTTTGTTAGCAGATAATGGAATATTTAATTCCTATGGCAAATGGTTGACAATGCAATATTGAATCACTCACAATTTCTTGAAGCCGAAAACTTTGGCTTATTGGTAGAATGGAGTCAAATTGAACGCTTCTAATGTAGTGTTTATTTTTTTTTCTTTCAACTCTCTTTGTCTCTCACCACCAAGGTGTTCTAATTTTTCTAATTGTACATGTTGAAACATTTTAAGATTCAATTAGATTTTTCAATAGTGTTTTTATTTGTGGAATAGGTGTTCGGTTCAAATATATTTTCTATCCGCACTTATATGCTTTATATGTTGCTTTTGTAGTGATCTTCTAATTGGTATGCCTTTTAATTGATTTTTTTTGTTTGTTACATAGTGCCTTCTATCTAAAAAAACGTAAATCATATTAATTACTAACATAGATATATTAGTATGATTGCCAATGTTTCTTTTTGCATTCACTTCACTCACACATTTGTAAGATCAAAGTTTGAGACACTTACAAATGACCTGGGATTTATTGGTGTTGTATATATGAGTGTAATTAACAGTAATAGATCATTTCGAGTTCTTTATATTTATTAAAGTTGGTTTGCGAAACTACACCCTTGGCATCAAGGCTTGAAGCCTTTATAGATGTTCATTTTAGGAATGGTGGTGGTGGTAACATGTTTATGATTATATTGCGATTTTGAGTTAGAGGGTTGGGAGGTTAAAAACAGGTGTTCAAATTTAATGTTTGATTTTTTTCAGTTGTACCGTGCCTTCAGGCATGAGTTATTCTTAGTCTATATAATAAAATACAATACAATTCAAATTTCAAAAGATAAACAAAATAAATTATGTTATTCACGGTTGATATCGCTTTAAATTTTATTTTAAAGATAATATTAACCTTCCAAATTTAATATGAAAAATAGGTCCTTAAAAGTACATTTGAAATGACTTTTTAAAAGTATTTTTAAGATTTACAACTTTTCATAAATATTTTTAAAAAAAATAGTGTTTGGAATTGCACCACCACCCACATCACCATTACC